TCAGTAGTCGCCTCATTGTTCTGACACACACAACAAAACTATTGACTACACTACACACTAACTACACAAGATTTGCGCTAAACGTTGAAAATCTCTCACATCTCAAAACACTGCCGTCACTCCTAAAACTTCCCCCTTCCTAAACAACTAAATGCCACGTTGCCATATCATTTTTTGATTGGTCGACATGGTACATTTTTCGACCAATAGGAAAGGGTGGGGTTTTTTGGTTTTGTTTTTGCTCACAGGTGGAGAGTGCTTTTGAGCGTTTTCCTTATAACACTGCGTTTTTACCATTTCTTCCCGCAGTAAATATACATATATATATAAACAACGATAGTATTCAGGAAGAAAACCAAACATTGCAGATATTTTTATCATAACTCTGGTTTTACGTGTCCGGTCAACACAATTTAAAAACTGGTATAAAGTCCACACGTTTTCCGTCAATTGTTCCGTCTGTCCTGTTCTCATCTCCAATGGTTGTACACGTTGTCATTAACGTGGCTTCACTCTACATCAGCCACGCCGCTTTGCTAGCTAAAACACCGGTGTCGGCACATAAGGACGCCGTCATAGTCTGTCAACGACGTTGACTAGCTGTGTATATACGAATGTGGATCGCATCATTGGCTGGACTATGGGATAAGGTGGCATCGTTCTAATCCCATACTGGAGCAGCCAGTCACTTACTGACTAACACTGCAAAACAGAATTATTACCATGCCAGCAGTGCACAATTGCGCACGTGCGCAGCTCAGAGGGAACATTGCACAGGAGCCAATTATTAGCTTCCCCTACGAATAAGTTTTGTTACATAATAGATTGCTACTTTATCAATGTCTGTGTGTGTGTGTGTATGTGTGCACTGATCTGTATATTCCATAGTTATCTGCTTTCTCAAGGCTCTGAAATGTTCCAATCTGCTGCATCTGCTGTAATTAGCCCGAGCCCAATTTTGGTCAGTATCTCATGGGCACAGTTCCTTTGGAGGCAGATTAACTCTCATTGGGTGAATTTAACTGCAAATTTCCTAATAATAAGGGCCTATAAAAATAGTAAAGAGTCACAGCGTTTAATATTTAAACTGAAACTGGCTGGCTGAATACTGAATCTGTGCTCCCTCACTAACTCATTAATAGGAGTGATGTCAAAAACATTGAGCTGCACCGTGGGCTGCAGGCCATAGCTGTTTGTCACCATCACTCACCCTGAAATGACACTAAAATAACAAAAATGAGAACAGCAAATGGATAAAATCCCACACTTTCATTCACAAAACAGGCAAAGATGTGTGTGTATGTTTAAAAATCTGGCCTTGACAGCATGTGCTCCTTGTGTGCCGTTTGCGACAAAAAAAGCCTGAAGATCCTTGTGTTTAATAAGAAGGGGGCCTTTTCACCTTCACAGCCAAACATTTTTAGTTGCAGGAACAACCGTTGAGGTGAATAGCATTAATGGTGGCTAAGTTTCTATCAAAGGGTGTTTTATCTTCTTTATCTTCTTGCAGACCAGCAAGAAGACTATGAAAGTAGCATGACAAAACACAGCGCAAGTCATTATTAATGAATGATTATTGGCTCCTGTGTGTTCTTTGCTATGATATGTTGCTTTGTGTCCATGCAGCTTATAGCACTAAGTTAATAAATAGTAAGCAAATAAATAGATCTGGCCAATCAGACCACTGCGCTTGGCAACAAGTGCACTTGCAGCTTAAAACATATGCATCACCTGATTATATAATGCTACGAAAATAGTAAAATGATAATAAAGTCGTGATACAGCTTTAACTCCTGGATCTGCCTGCTGCTGCCTTCGCTTGATGTCAACTTAAT